TTTTCTTGACTCTAGAGTCATGTTTGGAAGGTATCACTTTGCATTCCTTGGATTGCCCATGCTTTAAAGGGCGATGCGGAAAAACAATCCAGGTGCCATGCGTCGTGTTGGGGCCGAGTTGGATTCATTCTGTCTATCCACTTGCTAGTTGACCCTCAATTTCCAGGTGAACCTAGTTTACAGTAAAGCAAGCAGGACAGAATGATCCTAGGTAGTTATGCCAAGTTCCCTTCAGGCCGGCCATACCCTAAACACCCAGCCCTGCCTTAGCTTCCTTGCCAGACCCAACCTCTGCCAGACCCTCCATTGTAGTATCAATCAGCCCCTCAGCAGCAGGTTCAGTGCCCCTTTTGCAGTCGTTACACATGGGCACTGTCTTTCTGAAACGCTTGACCCTGTGCTGTTCGAGCAACGAAACGCCAGAGCCCCATGCCGGACGTGGCTTGGTGCCAAAACACTTGACTTGTTTGATCTCGGGTTTTCCAATTTGGTGCCCGCAGGCCTTGCAGACGATGCGAAGAATGGAGTGGCACATGGCGTCGGCGGTCAAGCGAAGGTTGTCGTCCCGCAGCAGAGTGAGATAGCGATTGTGGTGTTTTTAACTCAATGCTAAGTCGCGTTAGGCAGGATGCCACAGGGCTTAAAACCTCGGGGGGATACAAAGAATGTTGGGCTCACCGTGTTTTATAGCTGACAACTACCAACTGCGTGAATCGCTTGGAAATGTTCCTCACATGTTCACTGGTGTGTCTAGATGCCCTTGTTCAGGATCCAGCTGGAAGAACAGCCCTGAGAACGGTCGAAAGCTGAATGCAGTTAAGAACTGGTGCAATTTACTTGGAATTCATCCGAACCCCCGGGAGGCTGCATCGCAATGTCAAACAGAAAACAGCTGACAGGCCAATCTTGAGGAAGTAATACACACGGTTGGGGTTGGTGATCTGCAGGATCCCGCGTCTCGGAACTTTGCATAACGCTGTACTACTGTGAGAAGGAGTCTCGAAGGAATTAGGCAACCGGAAGTTTCAGGAATCCTGTCATAGCTTCCACCTCGGCTTTTGTGCGACATCACGGGCACACCGTTGCCGCGCCGACTCCAACCCCGATTTGGCCCCGGCCCCGGCCCCACTCCGGCCGGCCCCACTGTTCGGCAGCCCCGGGACTTTTGACGTCTTCCGATCTCTCGTCACCGGCGTTCCACTTGGTTGCACCGTGGATCGACTGCACTTGTGATTTAGGTTAGCGTTAGCACAATTAATAGATTAAGTATTGGCATAAACATGAAGATCAAGTATCTATCCACCATCACAATAGCACGAGCCAGGTGATGGTTTCCGGAAGACCTTCCGGCCCTGGACTCACGAAAGTGCCATGGCACATCCAAACATAAAGGTCAAAGAAAGGTGCCGGCGGTCTGCAGGCATCGCGTCCACCAATTATGCAATATGCTAGGCGTGGCATTGTACTCTTTCTCTGGCCAGAACAAGAAGACACGTCCAGTCACTCCACGGAGAGACACATGAGCCATGAAACAGGGTTGGAAGCCCTATTCCTAGTAGGATAGATGATGCTACGGAAGGACAAAGGTGTGGCTGGCCCCGCTGGCGCTTTAGAGGCATTGAGACAATAACAGTAGAGTCATGAAGAAGAAAACACAATGCCGACCCTTCTGAAGCTGGCCGGCCGAACGGGCGAATATGGCCGCACCATTCCAAGACAACCGGTGCCTCCTTCCCGGCCAGCTTGGATCTTCAGAGTTGTAGGACCGGGGTTCTGGTGTGCGAAATTTGCGATCTGGTGCTCCGCGTCACACCGCTTTCACCATGGTTTGCCATCCCGCGCCCAATTCTTGCCTGGCCATGCAATGAAAAGAGAAACCGCACATAATCTCCGCTTGAATAGCACCCAACTATTGTGCCTTTTTTCTGGGACCCGCATTTCCAGGCCTGGCTGATTCGCACCCTGCCCAGAAGCATAAATACTTGCCCACCCTCCCGCCTTCTTCCTCTCTCTTCCAACACCAAACCTCTGACACCGACCTTGATCGCGACACAGTCAACCACAAGGACTGCATCCCGACCCTTGCCCATCTCGAGCAAACCCTCTCATTAATCTCATCAAACCAGTAAGCAATCCTGTCTTCCATCATCTCCTCCGCGCAAGCATCTCGGGGTCGCGACATCTGCTTGAGCCGAGTCGCGTTGCGAAAGCATCACCGCCCGAGAGGTCGGCTTTAGTAGCGGCTCTCTCTCCAGCCCCGGTCGCATCCCAGTTCCCCCCAAACGTCTCAGGACACGCGTCCAGCTGCTCTCTCAACCGTTTCGCGTTGCCTCTTCCCCGTCAGCGGTAGTCGTCTGATTCAGTGCTAATCCGTCTTGCCAGATCACCAAGAACAATCCATCACAATGGCTCCCAGATCCAAGGCTGCCGCTGCAGAGAAGGCCAAGGCCACCACTCCGGAGGAGAACTCCGTCGACAAGAGCAAGGAGGGACCGCTGTCGGCTTGGTCTGCTCGGGATCAGAACATCATGCTCCAAGTTCTTCTGACTGTCCCTGGTTTTCCCGCCGTAAGTTCACATCCAATTCAACACCTGGACCCTGGGGTTCTCGTCATTCCCCCCACACACAATTTCCCACTCCTCCCCTTCCAACACATCACCCCCATCCCAGCTTTCCCCTTAACCGTGGGCTTGGGCCTGCGCGACGGAGGGAAGGGATGTCGCACCCTCTCACACAGCTCCCCAAGTCCCAGTCAAAACACACTCGCAATTCATCAACCACCAAGCTGACAGCACTTGGCAGTCTCTCGAGTACGACAATGCCAAGGTCGCTGAGCGCATGGGTCTGCAGAACCCGCGCTCCGTGACCAACGCCTGGTGCCTCATCAAGACGAAGATCCACGAGTACGACGTCAAGTACCGCGAGGAGCACAAGCTGCCCACCATCGAGGACGAGGCCAAGGCCGCTGCGGAGGCCGCCGACAAGACGCCTGCCGAGGGCGACGACGAGAACCCGACCCCCAAGAAGCGCGCCCGCACCCGCAAGGCTGCTGCTCCCCAGAGCACCATGCCCCGCGGCAAGGCCACTGCCGCTGCCAAGACCGGCAGGGCTCGCGCCTGCAAAAAGCAGAACATGATGGCTCCCTCGGTTACCCCGGCGCTTCCCGTGGGCTTTTTCGGCGAGGAGGATGAGGCCGATGAGGGCAACTCGGGCGAGGAGCAGAATGAGGAGGCCGGGAACATGAAGCTGGAGCCGGTTGAGGATGAGTCCGTCATGTCGGGCGAGGTCTGAGCTCGGCGCGCTGTCTGCCGCCGCTGAGGGCTCGTCCGTCTCTTGACCGTCTTGCCTTTTCTTTTCTTTTTTTTTCTCACGTGGGCGTCTGGGTTTGGAGTCTTGGGGTACACTGCACTGGTGGGTTTGGCGGGGAGGACAGTTTGGGAGATGCCGGTTGCTTTTGTGGAGGAGCTTGCACCGTCGTCGACTGGCCGAGGCCGTACCATCTGGTTGAGTAGTAATTGACCCCAATACACGCTGTCCCCCCTCATCGTGACTTGGTCCCATATGTAATCGTCGCCGGCGACTTGGATCTTTGTGTCTCTATGGGATTCCACCTGTTCCGTCTTACTAGTTCTGTACAGTTCAACCCTTGTTTGTTTGTTAGCGCGGGACTCTTTGTTTATCCCCGACTTTAATGTATTTCTGACTTTAAAGCTAGAAAAGATAGAAAATAAAGCAAAAAGGAAAGTAATAGGAAATAAAATGAAATTGAAAAGGATAAATTTCTCTCCCTCTCTCTTTCTCTCCCCCCCTCTTTCCCTCTTTCCCTCTTTCCCTCTTTCCTTCTTTCCCTCTTTCCCTCTTTTCTTTTTTCTAAAAAAACAGGTAGAATGTCGTTCTAACGTTTATAACCTTGAGCAAGACCAACTCTCTTCTCCCAAGGTCAGGCGCTAACGAACAAACAAGAGGCCCTCCACAACAGGGCCCTCCACAACAGGGCCCTCTTCTAACTACAGACCCCCTGGCCAACTAGTCAATAAAGCTTGCAACCGAATTCGCAATCAGTTCCAGTAGCTACAGAGGGCCAGAGGGCCTATATAGCCCCTTGCAATAGAAGAGGCTATAGAGGCTATTTCAGCTTGGAAAGTACAGAGCAAGGACTCCACAGAGGCCTTCAGCAGAGCCTAGAAGGCCCGGTGGACCCAGGAGACTACTAACTAACAATAGCAGTATAGAGCCCAGAACTAGGTTCTACCTACCGCTCAGCCGGCCGACTACCGGCCAAAAATCGACCAATAGGCACTAGAAAGGTATAAAGGCCTTACAAAGGCCGAGAGCTCCCTACTAACCCAGGCCCGAATAGGGGCTATAGGTCTTAAAGATTTTCTTTTCCGGGCTAGGATTCCCTAGATACTTTCTCCCTACTCTGAATACGACCAGGGCAGGGAAACAGTGGAACACTTAGTCATGTAGTACTGCCAACTGCCGAATCTAAGAACCTGGCTAGCATCAGAGATATGTTCGCAGAGGGACCTCTATAGGGCCCTTGATAGATAGGGGAATAAAGAGAAATGACTTGCAAGGAAGGTTATAAGGTGGCTACTAGACTCTAGGAGGCTCCTAGAGTATAAGCTAGCTTTATAACTAGAACTAGGCTAGATTACTAGCCTGGTTAGCTACTTAACTACCTTTCTTTTTACTATAGAGGATGGATTTAAAGATTTAGATTATGTAAGGTCGACAGAGGTTTTTAGTCTAGCCTTATAGGTATAGTTTTCCTTTGTAATTAGTTATAGAAGGACCGGCAAGCCCTCGGGCATAGTGGTATAGGAATAATAATAATAATAATAATAAATTCCGCTTGCTTATAATATTTATATCACTCTATAGGGCTATAGTAGTTAAGAATTTATAGTAGGCCGTTTTTAAAGGTAAGAAGATAGATAAATCTAATAGTTAAAGGATATAAGAGTAGTATAGTAGTAGATAAATAATATAAATATAGGGGGATGGCGCAGTTGGAGTGCGTTGCGCCTGGAAAGTCTGTGCATAGGCTGTACAGGCAGTTGGTTCGAATCCGGCTCCCTCTGTACCTTTTCTTCGGAAAAGGCGCATTCCACCCAAGCAGGGATTAGCCTACCCTACGGCCTCCCCGAGGAATACCCGTCGGCTCGGGGATTGGCTAGATGTTTAGGAGGCATCTAGCTAGTTAAATAACGAACTGGGAAAAACCTGCTCAGCTCGCTGTAGGAAAAACATCTGAGCCCTATAGAGCTAGGAACCAAGGGATACGTAAAACCCAGGGTAGAAGCGGAACTGCCTAACAAAATACTACCGGGGTAGCCCCCCTGTTAAAAAGGAAGGATTCGAGGAAGGGAGATGCAATGAGAGCTGGCTTGCACTAGTCCTAACTGCTAGGTCGAGGGGTAAAGTTAGATCAAGGCTAGTTTCACTGTAGTAGGAGGACTCGGGATAGAAGGATATAAAAGAGGAGACGTAAGTTTTTACCTAGCCCTCGAGATATAGTTTCCTATGTAATTAGAGGTAGATAGTCCAGCGAGCCCTAGTATATATCAGAGTATGAATATAAATAATATAAATATAATATTTGAAATATAACTATATAAAGTTATTACTAGTATAACTAACATAGTCCACTATCGAGTGGGCTACCCTATCGAGTGAGCTACTTTTCGAGACCTTACTACTATAAATATCTAAAAGTCTACTAAAATCTAAATAAATCAATTACAACTACTTAGAATCACTTGAACTATCTATTTCTCTAGCCTCTAGGTATATCCTTGTATTATAGCTAGTCTTACAGCAGATGCTATAGAGCTACGAACCTGTCCGACGCTTCTTTAACGACCCCTTGTTTTCCCCTTCGACACGTCCTTCCTCTTTAATTATATCCTTCTCTGCTATTATTTCCCTGGCCTAGCTTCTATTAATAGCCCCTCTATCCTAGAGATATATTCGTTTAGCCCTCTAGCGCTTAGAAAGTATATTATTAGCCTCTTGCAATGTCTGTACTTCGGCCTCTAGTAGGAGGACCTGATAGGAAACCGTTTATATTCCTCTCGAAAGCTAGTCGATAGCGGCTAAAATCAGTATTAGAGAGCTTCCCTAGTGTCTAGCAATTCGACTTTTAATAAGGGTAGACTGCGAGAGGGCTTCGTTAGTAGTCTAGGGTGTCTTGGAGACCTAAGGCGAAGGTGGCCTATTGGGAGTCCTAGGGGGTGTTGGTATCTATAACTTGATATCTAGCTTTGAAAGTATAGCCTATGGATTATAGGGGATAAGTCTAGCCCCCTGAAACCCCCTGAGAACGTTTTCTTTAGTGAAAGTCCAGTAGAAGGTAGCTCTAAACGTAAGGAAGAACTCGGGCTTAGTGATATATATAGTCCGGGTATCACGAACCAACTATATATCGCGGCCCGGTAGGGCAGAGGGAACCAATAGGGAAGGAAGCCTTGCGAAGGCTGTGCTACAGACGCCAGGAGGCGCTAGCGAGTATATGTATAGACGCCTAGGGACGCTGGCGAGCGTCGGCGACCACAGACGCTCAGGGTCGCTAGCAACCAACAGCGACTAAGGAAGTAGCAAGTATATAGTTACTAGGCTAGAGGGCTCTAGGAGACCTCTAGTAAGCAATAAATCACAGTGCTTGAGACGCCCTTTCGAACATTATAAGAAATATCTTGTTGTAAACCCTTTAGCTTTACCGAACTGCTATCAGACGACTAGTCTACGATACCTCTACTAAACCCTTTTAGAAGTAGTCTAACCGGGTTTGTTATACGTTGCTTACTCCCTTTGTTTCTATTATAGCTTAGGACAGAGGTATCTCTAGCTACGATAGCTCTAAATACTCCGACTCCGGCTATTACAGCCTAAATCAATACTATGCCCCTGACCGTAGCATAGGTCCAGTAGCTCCTGGACTAGGCTAATACCCGGATTACGTAGCTTAAGCTTGAACACTCTATTAATAAAGCTAAGCTGGATGTACCTACTAAGTATAGAGGCGATAAGGATACCCTTACTAGATTTTTAGTCTAGATATAAGCCTACCTACTATACTACCTTGAGAAGTTTGCCGACGAGGCCCATAAGGTCGTGTTCGCGGCCTTACGTCTCGAGGGAAGAGTACTCCGATAGTTCGAACCTACTCTGAAGGACTTCCTTAAGAACCCCGATAACGACGATCGCAAGGAGTTTACTCAATAGGTTTTTCGGAGCTATACTAGTTTCGAAAGTAAACTCAAGAAAGTATTTAGAGATATAGACGAGAAGCTCTATGTATAAGAGTAGCTCGCGCGCCTAAGGCAGACTAAATCCGCGTCGGCTTACGCTATAGTTTTCCAATAGGATACTATTAGGGCCGAGATCAACGACAAGGGCCTTATATAGCTATTCTATAACGGTCTTAAGGAAGAGGTTAAGGACGAGCTCTATAAGGTCGATCGACCTAATACCCTCGACAAGTATATCGCTATAACGATCAGGATCGACGATCGCTAGTACTAGCGTAAGTAGTAGCATAAGAACGGAAGTAGATCCTAATAGTAGGGATAATCTACCTATAAACCTAACAATAAGAAGAAGCGGTACTGTAGTACAGTGTATAGTACCTACTTAGGTACTATAGACGTAGATACTAACCAATGTATCGAGCTAGTTAAGAAGGATAAGGCCGACGTTACTTACTTTAACTATAGTAAGAAGAGATACTTTAAACGGGACTATAGGAGCCTAAAGAAGAACGGCTAGAAGCTTGTCCTAGGGTATACCGAGACAGCTACTATTACTAAAGGTACTTGTATAGTCGAGATTTCCGCTATAAGCAGGGAATATAATTCAGAGGACGTTGAAGAGAGTATTGATCAGGAGATCGCGCGCCAGGACCGGGATAGTCTATCCGATAGCGAAAGCGTGTCTTCCGACGTAAAGAGCGTCTCTAATATAAGCTTATAGGCGGCCTATAAACTTGAGGAGTTTATACAGTACGAGGTCTCGGAAGTTACTTAACTTAGTATCGCTAAGGTGGTACTCGACTAGAACCTCCGGGTGAACAACGAGTACGTACGCTATAGGACCGAGCAAATAGTTAAAAACGATAGCGATAGTATAGATATAGGCGAAAGAGATTAATAGGAGTTAATAGTACCGATAGCCTAGTAGTACGTTAAATAGATCGCTACTATATAGGGACTATGACTAGTCTAGGACTATAATAAGTAATAGAGGACTACGGACAAGAGGGACTCGGCGGAAGGCCCCGACCTAGTCTACCTCTAGTAGTAAGTCCAAGAGCTTAAGGAGTAGAACGATCAACTTTAGACCGAGATTCTTAAGTTAGTTACCGAAGGACAGACAGTCGAGGGAAGACTTAGCGAGGTAATCTAATAAGTAGATGTATTACGCAAAGAGATCTTCTAGGTCAACGATGTATCCGACCGAGGAAATATTAGATAGAGCGGACCTTATAACTAGAGCGCCGAGGACTGTTACCCTACCGAGGTTAGGAACCCCGAATAGGAGTACTACGACTAAGCTAGGCGATAGTATCTTAAGAACGCTAAACCCTAGGACTAGGAAGAGTTCTAGAAGACGAGAGCCTATATTAGCCTTGGAAAGAACAATAACGATATAAAGGAACTCGACTACGAAGGGAAGTTCTAATAGGCTGATAAGTCGGAATCACAGCGACTGTATCCCGAACGAGCAGACTATATATAGGTACTATAGTTCTAGTACATTACCTACGCCTATAAGTATTACTTTAAGGAGAAGTACAACTATAACTACTAGCCTATCCGCGAGACTATACCCGACGGGCGTCCTAGGCCGATCCGGTAGACGTTCGACTAGGGATAAGGGGTATCCGATCTACTCTAGTACTTCGAGTATCTAGAGGACGAGAAGGTTTGTGTACGACTATAGTAGGTATAGCTATCCCTATATATATATTTACAGGACGATAATATTAGCTACTATAGTAGCGTAGATTATATCTAGTACTTATAAGCTAAAAGTAAAGAATACTAGTATAGGAAAATAGAGACGAGAGAACGTTACTCGTGGGACTTGATATCCTAGAGGAAGAGACGTAACTCGAACCTAATCTAGGAACAGGGGGGCAAGGACGAGGACCGGTTAGTATAGAGTAGTAAGTAATGGTTATAAGAGTTCAGCACTATTATAGAAGTAAGCTAGGAAGTAGATAGGGACGCCTCGATGTAATAACCAAGCTTAGAAAATAGCTCTAGGCCCTCCGAGGGGCCTAATAACCTTTAATACCCTTATAACGACGACAAGCCTGCTAGTATAGGAAGAACTAGGCGAAACAGAAGGGCTATAACGATCTCCTAGTAAGCGAAGTAGAAATCGCTACTGTATTAGGTACTAGGACCGATAGAAGACTCTAGATCCCGGTATACTAGAAGCAATACTAGGTATTAGCTTTAGTAGATAGAGGGTTGGAACTTAACCTTATCTTACTAAGATTTATTAATCAACTCTAGGTTTTATAGAGGATAAAAAACATTGTATATATAGTCAAGGGACTATTCGAAATATAGTAGGCTCGACGTAAAACCGAGCTACTCGATATTACCGTCGAAGGAGAGACTACGAGAGTTATTTTCGACATTGTAGATATAGGGACCGACAAGGATATAATCTTAGGATTCCCCTAGTACGAGGATTACAACCTAGACATTAGTTAGAAGGGAGGTAGCTACCTATAGCCCCGACTAGAACTAGGACTGTATCTGACTAATATAATAGGAGGCGTAGACAATGGATTACAAAAAGGTAGTATAGCGAAACGCATGTACTTCTAGGATCTACCGCAAGAGGCGGATAGCGGCGGACGATCCGCTATGTACTTAGGAAGAAGCGGTAGTCATAAAGGATCGAACGAAATAAGCCTAGATCGAGGCCGATAGTAGACTCTAGGGGGTACGCCGAGACAGGTTACTAAGGAGGTCGCTATTATCTTAATCGATAACTATAGTAGCACTTAGTTCTAGGAGTAGGTATAGTAGGCCGATATAGCCGAAGTTATAGCTAGCGGCAAGTT